ATATCATAAAACACATCTACTGGGAGAGCTTTAACCTTAATGCTCTGCTCATTATGTAAAAGAAAATGAACAAGTGAAAACAAAAATGTGACAGGGTGGTAAGAGAAACTTTTAACCGTCCATTTTAGTCAGAAATTACTCCCTCCGGTCCTATTTATAAGTTTCAAAATAGGAGAGAAATGGGGTCCATATTATAAGCTTCAATTTGGTGTTTGTCTTAACCTTTAATGCTCTTTTTCTAATTTTACCTTTAATTATTTATTCTCTCTATTGGTCATAATCTCTCTTATCACATTTTTCCACACATTCTTTTTTATTTTTTTCCCTCATCTCTTACAAGGGCATATTTAAAAATAAAAATATATCTCTAACCTATTTATTATTTTTAACTAATTTTAACTAATTGTTCGTTATCTGTGAATTAGTTATTTGAAATTTATAATAAGGACTGGAAGAAGTATTAAAACTTAATATCAAATATAAGCCCTTTGATTATACAGGAAAATTTTCTGAATGTTTTGGTTATGATTAATTAAAACAAATTGTTGATTGAAATTCTTCCCTTATTTTTAATTGATTAAATCAAGAGTGCCAAATGCTGGTGATATTGATATAAATACATTAAAAAGAGAAGAAAGAAACAAATATATGTATCATTGATCTTATTTATTTGATTTTCTTTTTTTATACATGATGGTGTCATGGAGAGAGCCATGCATGTACTTCACTTATAGAAATGATTATAGTTGTTTTAGTAATCCAATTGGATGCGGCAAGAATGCACTGCATATGCACGTACCTCTTTTAATTTGTTGGTATCGCAATCCAACTTATCATCTCTTTATTATTAGATTTTTTTATTGTTTAAAGGAACATTTTTTATGCGTCCATTGATTGTGTTCACTTTTTAATTTATTGTTTTGAAACTTCAAGGTAATTAGTTATCCTGGATTGATGTCACTCCGTTTTATAATAAGACACTTTTTCAAGGAAATGAGTGGTTCTTATTATAAGTTACTGAATCGGGTATTAATTATATTTTTTTCATTATTTCTATTTAAGGTTGATGTAATTTTCTTTTTTTGCTTTTGACCGATATGTAATTTGAATTCATGATCTGAAATAAGGATAAATTTAAAAACCACGTTTATTTTCAAAACTATTTCAGGCTGAGAAGAGCTACATGCTGTAGTAATATGAGATTCTGCAAAGTAACCCCTTTACCAGCTTTGAAATTTGGAAGGAGATATTATTTGTGCAAACCTCAAGCAACTTTGCCAATTCCAAACAAGAATATATCCAAACCGTTGGGGAGTATTGGTTTTAGTAATGGAACTGGTTTTATCAGATTCATTAAGTATTTGGCTAAAATCCCCGAATTACTAGCTAAGTTTCATTAATTTTTAGTGGTGCTGATGAGAGGAACAAGTCCCAGAGGATACGTTTGTCACTTGAATTTTTTTTTTTGGAAATTAAAAAGATAATAACTAACGGCTTGATATTAGAAGCAAAATTGAACCCACAACTTTTCATTTATAAAGAAATGACAAGGTCATTGGCTCCGTCACTTGATTTTGGAGGACCATCAGTAAAAAGAGAGGCAAAACCGATAAATTAGAAGTCTTAATTGTTATTCCTTCGGTCCTAAATATAAGACCTATTTTGTAATGTAATAAGAACCATGAGCATTACAAAATGAGTTTTATATTTAAAATCGGAGGAGTACCAAAATAGCAATGACGGTATAAGGGATTATAATCCAAAATCACTGGGTCAACAAGCAAACAACCCGAAACCATAATAAGACAAGGTTATGAGCATAAATATAAAGGAAGAGCTTATCTAAAAGTTTTATCCTCTTGGAAAAGTCATTAAACTTATAAATCATACTTCATTCGTAAGGCTTTTCAAAAGAAAATTCACAGAACATAAAGAGATCTTGTAATGCACCGTCGATCCTCTTGTACTCGCTTTGTCTGGTTGAATAAATTGTCTTTATTTCAAAAAAAAAAAAAAACTCGCCAGGAAAAGTTTAGAGTGGAAAGATATATAGAAGGGTTAGATTGGGAAAATACCATATAGAAAAATAATATTATAAACTAGATATTATATTTAATACTGAAAATGATATATAATTATTACGTTGAAATTTCACATGCATCATCAATAATACCATTAAAATGCGTAGAACAAAGTTAAGATATATCTAAGAAAATAGTAACTACGCTGGTCAAAAAAAGAAAAAAGAAAAAAGTAACTACGGACTTCAACTGCGCTGGCTGGGAATTTCAGACTTGTTTTTGTCTTTTCTGATTATATTGGAGTTATCAATTTGTTGAACAGTAGCTGGGTTCCAAGTCACCCCTTTAGAGACTTTATTAAAAACTGGATTACTTTTGTGGGGAGACTCGCGGGTTGTGATCAACCACACTCCTAGAACTGAAAACTCCATGGACCATGTCTGACCAACTTGCCAAATACTATCATGCCTTAGCGGGAGTACTTTTTTCATCACGTGCCATCTTTCTTCAGTCCAGATGGAGGGACATGATTGAAGCTAGTTCCTAGTCTTATGCTCTTGTTTTTGTTGTCTCTTGATGATGGAATGCTATCGGAAAAAAAAAATACTCTATCAATTTTATTATAAGTTTCAAATTATTAATTTACAAACAATAAATAATTAGTTAAAATTAGTTAAAAATAATAAAAATATTTTTATTTTTAAATATACTTGTATAATAAATGAGAAAAGGAATGAAAGAGAACACTTGAAAAAAATATGACATGAAAAAAATAATTGAAAAAAAAATTAAAAATACATTAAATATTAAGATAAATCTAAATTAAAAATTATAAAATCAACCATTTTTTCCCCAAACTTTAAGCTCATAATTATAAATAGGATCGGCGTGAATAATACTCTATCTAGTCCTATTTATAAGTTTTAAATTGAGAGAAGGGTGTGATCTATTTTGTAAATTTTAATTTGGTGTTTTTCTTAACATTTATTACATTTTTTTCAATTTTATCCTTAATTATTCACTCATTCGCTCTTTTTTGTCATAATTTTTTTGTCACATTTTCCCACATATTTTTTTCTTATTTATTATAAGGGTATATTTAAAAAATATATATATTTCTAACTTATTTATTGTTTTTAACTAATTATTTATTATTCATAAATTATTTATTTAAAATTTAAAATTTATAATAAATACCGGAGGGAGTACAAAATAGTCGTTCAAGTATTTATTAAGAACAAACAAAACGGCATCTTCTACTATAAAAAAGTCAGAGGAACGCAATAATGAAGTGAAAACACAAAAGCATCCGAATTCCGAACCAATAATTTTGAGGCTTAAAAAAGGCCAATAGGGAAGAGCCTAATGGGTAAGCCTAGAAATGGAGCATCCCTCGAAACGCAGAATATTCTTCGTATAATTAGAAACTAACTTGGATTAATTAATTAATCACCCTTTTTATATGTATATCAAAGGCCAAAAAATATTTTAAGTCCATATTGTTTAGCTGTTCCTAATTAATCGAGTAATTAATTATTAAACATCTTAGAAGACTGCCGTTCTAACGAGGTCAGCTCATAAGACTGCATCACATATCATGATCATCCGAAATTTGATAGTGAATCAGGATAAGTTATGAGTTAATAAAATATTAATATCCTGTTATAGTATCTCCACTCCTTAAACTACCTCCCGTCCTACTTAATTTGATCTTATTTATAGACTATAAATGAAATCTTATAATTAGGATTGGAAGTAGTATAAGAGTTAGTTTGATATTTAACTTAATATTAAATATAAGACTCCAATTTACTTTATCTATCATATTTATCTATTTTTTTAAAGCATTCTTTATAATAGTAAATATGTTAAATGTTCTATTAAATAATAGTTCTAACTAAGACACATAATAATTAAATATATTTTAAGAAAGACAATATATATTTATTACAAATAACTAATTTAACAATTTTTTTTAATCTACTCAAATTAGTCAACTAGTTCTTATATTAAATAGTAACATAGTAATAATTTAAGTTCAATAATTTTTCTTTATACCTAAGAGAAAGTTCAAAATGTAGTTCTCACGTAATAAATCCCATTTATAAGGTCGGTTAGAACAATTGAGCAGGTGTTCCATGCTTTTGAAATTAATTAATCAATATTAATATCCATATAAAACGTAAAATAAACCTGTTTACCAACTATTATATACTATCTCTTATTCTTAATATAATATATTTTTAATTAATTAAGGTAGATTAAAAATAATTAGATTAGTTATTTATAAAAAAATATGTATTATTTTTTTTAAAAATATCGTCTGGAATCATTTGTTAGTTTAGATAAATAAGAAAGATAAAATAAATTTAAATTTAATATTTAAAATTAAATTTAATCCTAATAACTAGCTCGTTTTTACTAGGCACCGTATCAGAGAAAAAGTACCACATGTCAAGGTTTGTTAGGAGTGTCTAACGGGTCGGGCTGAGTTTGGACCGGGCTAGCTGTTTGATTAGGACTACGGTCGTTACGCTTCATTCGTTAACCTCGTGGCTAGTCACCAGTGGATACTAGAAAGATATATCATAAACAAAAATTAAAAAAACATACGGAAACCCACCCGGCCTTCTTACCACCGACCAATCCACATCCAACCCATCACGCTTGACTTTGACCAACTCGAGCAAATATTCGTTAACACCCACATTAAAACATATATTCAAACATAATGAGCCCAAAATACCAACGTTATGTCTCCAAGATCTCACCACGTGTCACCTTTCTAATTTACCAGATAATCAACGGCTCACGCTCTTCCCACCTAAGACTCCCTCATTTGACACGCACGTTCCCCTCCTGCATCATGCTCCATCAGCAACGGTCGTCTCTCATAAAAATTTTAATTTAACCAAATTCCAAAAACCCCTCTTTAAATTCCATTCCCCATCATCCTTCTCCCCCACCTTCAGTTTCATAATCCCTCTCCTCTCTTCCAAAAACGTCATCTCAATACACAGAAACATATACTTTTTCATATAATCCTGTTTCAGTTTTCCATTCTTCTTCTTCTTCTCTTCCATTTTCATGGAGTTTCAGAGACCTCAGTACTGTCTCTGTTTCGTCCTGTTCAGTCTTCTCTCTTATTGTTCTCAGGCGTATGTGTTCTACCCTGGTGGACGAGATGGATGGGTCGTGAACCCTTCTGAGGATTACAATCACTGGGCTGAAAGAAACAGGTTTCAGGTCAATGACACTATGGGTGAGCTCTCTGGTTTTTTTCCTTTTTTTTTTTTTGATCTTTTCTCTGGTTCATATGTGATTGGAAAGGTCAAGCCTTTAAAGTTTTTTCGTTTTCTTGCTCGCGACTGATTCAAGAAATCTGGGTTTGTGTTTATTGTAGTTTTTAAGTACAAGAAGGGGTCGAATTCAGTTCTGGTGGTGAACAAGGAGGGTTATTATAAATGCGACAAGACCAACCCCATCAAGAAATTTGAAGATGGTGATTCAGTGTTTAAGTTTGATCAATCGGGACCTTTTTACTTTATTAGTGGGACGGATTCTTATTGTGAGAAGGGTCAGAAATTGATCGTTGTGGTTTTGGCCATCAGACCTCCTCCTCCTCCCTCCTCTGTTTGGCCACCCCCTGGTTCTAAACCTCCGGCAGTTTCTCCACATCCATCATACCCAGCACCGATGATCCCTCCCACATCGCCTCCAACTCCAGCGGTTTCACCATATCCATCACCCAAGATATCTCCGTCATCGCCAGCTCCAGCGGTTTCACCGTATCCATCACCGAACATATCTCCGTCATCGCCATCTCCGGCGATCACCCCTCCGGCTGTTTCCCCAGCACCTGCCAACGTGCCTTCGTACCCAACACCGGGGTCTGCTCCGGCTCCGGCAAGTACATCACCCCCACCGCCCCCCGCCAATACTCCAGCAAATTCTCCGACGTCACCACCATCACCCGCGCCATCGACTCCAGGGTCGTCACCTCCCGCACCTCCGGCGAACACTCCCGCATCTGGTCCGGGGTCACCGGCAACACCTTCGGCGAGCCCGCCAGGATCTGCAAACCCATCGTCATCGAATGAAACATCGCCGCCGCCACCGAATGGATCAGGTGCATGGGACGTAGCTCCATCAAGCTTATTGGTGTATGCGGGGACCATTGTGCTGAGTTGTGCTCTGAGTGAAATTTTGGGTGGACAGTAGAAGAAATTATTATTACTATTACTATTTATAATCTAAAATTAATTATTTGAGAGCTGCCCCGCACATATTTTTAGTTTATTTTATTTTGGTGCTGGGCGATTATTATCATGCGTTGGATATATATTGTGACCTTTTTCAGTAAAGGGCGTTATTTTCTCTGTTGTCAGTTGGCACTTTACTGTTAAAGTGCTAGTGGTGTATTTTGTGTAGAAATATATTAAACCTCGGAATTGGGTCATCATTTTTTCCCCCTGTTATTTTAGAGTGAATTAAAGGATTAATTCATCCAGTATTTTATATTTTATATTTTATAGATACGTCAAATACTACAACACTTAAAAACAAAACAAAATCATAGATATATGTTTATTAAGTTAAAGTTTAAGAATTGAGTTATCTGAGGTTGAAATTGTAAAACCAAGTTATAGTCAAATTAAAAATATACTGAACAAATTCTTTTTTCCAGTTAAATATGACATACTACCTCCGGTCCTAATTATAAAACCCAGTTGACTTATTTGAGGAGATTAAGGAAGTAAGTTAAGTTAGTTATTTGTAATAAATAAGTGTTGTCATTCCTAAAATATCCTTGCTAATTAAGTGTATTGGTTAGAACTATCATTATTAGAAGAACTATCTTGAAAAAATATGTATAAATACGAGAGAAAAAATGAATTGGGGTCTTATAATTAGAACCAAACAAAAAGTCAAAAATGGTCTTATATTAAGGACCGGAGGTAGTATTGATTAACATGGTAGTTAGCGACCTTTTTTAAATGATATATATGTGATGAAAAGGATGAGCCAGAAGTTTCAATAAAAAAACAAAACAAACATAGAAATTTGTCTCCACGTGGGCTGTCCTGATTGAAAACCAAAACGTGCAAAAGTAAAAACATGAAATGACACACACACACACACACACACAAAAGGGGGATGACGTGGAAGGATTGTTACAAAAAAGAGAAGAATAATAGAGTGATTATTGGTTCATAATATGATGTGATGGAGCCATTCATGTAAAGAGGCCATGTGGGGAATTTTCCAGAACAGGATAACACATTGATTAGTGAACCTGATAATCTTGACCTAATAATTAATCAACAGGGTTTAATAAAGTCTAGTAAGATTAAGATGAACTTTGTCAAAAATATAATTTATCCAGATATTTCTACGTGTGAACTGAATTTAATATTAACGTAAAGCAAGATGTGCTTGATTGATTTATTTTATTTTATTCTTTATTTTTGCCTTGTAGTGTACTTGATGATTGATTAATTCAAGATAAGCAAGCTGCTACAAATTATTTATCGCTGTTCCTTTCACCAAAACTTTAAAAAAGAATCATTTCTTACCTATATTCCTTAAATCAGAAGCTTGAATGTTATTTGTATAATTCATTGTTGCGATAAAATTTAAATCATTTAAACGAACTTGGATGGGATGAATTTAAATATTTTAAATGCAATTTTTAATTTTTAATTCATTTTTTAAAATAATTTATATTTATATTAAATTGAAAAAATCTGTCAAAAGTTTCTATTTAAAAATTACACCGAGTGGAAGGATATAAAATGTGGAAAGATATAAAATTTTCAGAATATCAATAATTTTTGTGTATGAAAATAAATTTAGGTTATTCTGATCAATAAAATTTTTAAATATAGATTTTTCTAGCTAAATTTTGCATATACTAAAATAAAAATTTATTTTAAATATAACAAATAAATTAAATGTAAAATGTACTTTTCTTGCATCTGTTAAAATAAAAATTTATTCAAATTTCAAAGATAATTTAGTTTTTGGCCTTTTTTTTTTGGCGTGCGATTGAAAATCAGTACAATCAAGCACCCTTCATCGATAAAAATTAATATATATATATATATATATATATATATATATAATCCCAGGATTAGGTCCCAAGCAGCCTATTAGCTTTATAAAAGTGCACTTTCCGAAAAGCCGGATTCCGCAAACACGATGCTCATGCGTGTATTTTAATAATTGGGGCCTCCTTGTTTTCCGCGCAAATTTTCTCCCAAACCCTTTTTTTTTATTATTATTTTTTCAATATTATGCGTTTCTTGCTTCCTCATTAGTTTAATAAAATACATCCATTTATAATATAATATAAAAATTTATTAAATTTTCTTACATATCAAAAAATAAAAATTTAGTTATTAAATTTGTCTTAAAATGACCGAATTTTTTCATTTTACCCGAAAAAAATACTAAAGTTATTTTTAATGTTATATTTTTATTATTTCTCATATCTATATTCTTTCTCTTACATTTAATGGGGATAAAAGTGAACAAAATTAAATTAACTATCTTGATATTGTGTTATATTTTAGATCATAATTTTTTTCTAACTAAGGTTTTATATTATGGATAAGAAGAAGTATTTCAACTCAGTTCATCTTTTTAAAACCCTTTACTTCTAAATTAAACTAGTCAAGTATTCTCATTAGTTATTTTCAATGTAGGTGTTAAATTTGAATTTTGCTCCCTTTAAAAAAGACGTGTCATAAAATTATTTTACATTGTTACCCAATCTCATCACCTGTCTAAATTTAGTTCTTATTAAATTCATTGCCACGAAAAATCTTATTAAATTCAAATAAAAATAACTCTTTACTTAAATAATATTAATTTTTTTTCCTACTGCACCTAACTAGGTTATCATAAAGGCTAAAGCGCTTTTGTATGAGTGCAAAAGCAAAGCAAAACGACACATCTCGTGGCCCCCAAATAAAACGACATGTCGAGAAAAGCAATGAGAGTTGTGGACTCATGAGTTGTGGCCACCAAGCCGCGTAGCTCTCCCGTGCAATGCAAAGATGATCCATTTTAAAAATAAAAGTGTTTGGATGAAACCAAATTATAATTTTAAAAATAATTTTATGATATATGAAATAAGTGTTTAAAAGAGTGTCTCAATTTGTAAAAAATTACTTTTAAAAAGCATTTTTAGAAATGTCCAAATATCCCCTATAATTAAGTTTACTAAAATTTCCTCGTTAAACTTTCATTTCTTAAAAAAAAAAAAACAAGAAAGAAAGTTAAGTTGGATATCTTGAAAATTCTGTTACAATAGTTTTTTTTGATGTTATAACTGAGTGTTATATTTGAGATTGGTGAAAATATTTATCAATTATTTTTTTATGTAATTATCCCTTATTATCATTATTTTTAAAAATCAAATTTTAAGACAGTTAATAAGATTCAAGGTATTCATTAATTTTAATAAAGTATGTTAAAAATGTCTTGTAAATAAGATTATAAGAGTATAAAATAAATTAAGTGATTTAAACCATCAAAGGTGTTAACAAAATCTATTCAAATTACTAGATGTTATAAATACGGGTGTGGGAATGACCTTTTACCACAAATAAATTCCAAGAAGCCTGGGTCTAATACATGGAGAGGCATCAAAAATAATTAGGGTCACATTAAAACAGGCCTGCAGGAAACGCTCGATGATCAAGGTAAACCATGTAGTTCGCTGGAAATAGAATCAAAGTGGACGTTTCTCTACGAAGTCTGCTTATATATCGCTTAACCCTGTAAGAGAAGAGTGTAACAGGAACTGGAATGGAATGTGGAGGTTGAATGTACCCCAAAGGTGCAAAACTTTTGCATGGTTGTTACAACGTGAGCGTCTCATCATTACCAATGAACGCAAACAGAAGAAAGGTCTGCATCAAACTGGAACATGTGATAGATGTAAACAAGTTCTAGAAGACGAGATTCATGTGCTCCGTAATTGCCCTGGTATAAAGAAATTTTGGGAAACCATTGTTAAGCCCGAGTTTCATCAAAGTATCTTCTCAAGTGAACTCCAAGATTGGCTTCAGTTAAACTTCAAGAAGAAAGCTGGTCACAGGGAGGGAGAAGGGAAAAATACTTTCATAATCATTTGTTGGCTTCTTTGGAGAGTGAGAAATGAATTCATTCATTCGAATTCCGGTACTGATATGACCACGGTAAAAGCTAGGGCCTATGCTGTTGTGAATTGCATGAAAAGTACGGTGTCTAAGCTCAAAGGAGTTAATATGGTGGCGAATAAGAGCCAAGTGACCCAGGAAGATGGTACCAAGCTTGCCACGAAGTGTGTTGTGGAGGTGGCCCCGGATGGAGCTTTGGGTTAACAAATTCTTAGTGAAGATGCTGTTTTGAGAATCTTCTCATCGCTTGACATTACTTGTCTTTGTATTTGTTTCTTTGTTTTCTAGCTTATCAAATATATATATATATATATATATATTATATCTATGTGGATGTTCATAACCTCAGCTCTTATGATTCTTCATAAGATTTTTTATTTTTGAATGTTTTAAACTTATAAACCTCCAATGAATGATTTTAGAGGAATTTTTCATGTTTATTGTTGTTATTCTCTTCTTCATGTCTTTGTAACCTTAGATTAGACTTAATGGTTGGATGCCTATAAATAGAGGCCATATACGAGGCATTTGTATATAATAACTCCTGTATAAGTGTATGAGAAATATTCGTTGTTTTTTCTTTCAATTCTTGTCTTACTATTTTCTTTCTACTTTCTATTCTAACTTTCTCATTTTCATAACACTAGCATATTTAGCTAACCTAGTAACATTGCTCGTGTTCTTCGTAATTCCATATAGACAAATTTAAACCTTCCATTCCATTTTTTTCACCTACAGTTATCCTCGTATTGCAGGTAATTTTATTAACTAAATTTTGACCTTCCTCACAATGGGCCATATCATCATTCTGTTTTCTTGTTTTTGGGCCAGTAATGTGGGCTCATGCTTAAGATCTACAGGTTTTTTTTTTGTTTTTTTGTTTTGCTATGCATGATATTAGAAGCGGTTATCACTGGCATTAAATAGTGACTTCTTTCATCAGTGATTCTATAGAATCATTTAAAAAATAAAACTGTATATTTCATAAAGCTTAAGGATTTAAAATTATAAATATTATTCGAAAAAAACTATAAGATAAATTGTAATGAGTTTAAATTTAGGGATTTATTTTTAATGGAATCAAAATTAATTGAATAAAAAAAGTAATTTTTCTTAAAAAAATATAATACCGGTAATAAAAAAAATGGCCAAAAAAAAAATTAACGGTCAAAACTTCCGGTAAAAGAAAAAAAAAAAAAGATATTGCAAAGCAGAAATGCACCTTCCGTTGTCCTGACGATAGCCAACGCGTTTAGCTCGCTCCACTCACTCACTCATTTCTTCCCTGCTATCTCTTGCTTCATCGTTTTCCTTCACAAGAATCCATGGCTGCTGCTGCAGCAGCACCGGCAATGGCTGTGAACGGAATAAAGATAGGCACAGCATCGCAGGCACACCTAGAAAGCATGGCAGCGAAAGAGACCAGAGTTCTGATTTCTGGATTCTCTCGCCACTTCTACAATCTTGGGCGGGCCTCAGGCACATCTGGAAGCACCACCATTAAAGTCCACGATCACTACACTCGTAAACCACCGCAGCTTATGGTCATGTCCTCTTCAGGTATCAATATCATCAGTTGGCATTGTTTGCGATTGATGGGATAAGTATTAGAACAGTTCGTTTGATTCCAGTATTTGCATTTTCCATCTTGACTCCGGTGGTTTTCCTCGTCATTTTGGTATTGGAATCTTTCTGGGTATTCCTATTCCTACCAGATATCAATTGTGTCGCGAGTATTGTTACTCTCTTTTGTTTTTTATTTTTCATTTTATATATTAGTTGTTGCAGCAGATTTTAAATTGTTATGCTTGAATTCAGGTATGGCTTGGTGGAGGATAATTTATCCATTTTATCTTGTGCCATTTTGTTTTTCTTTTTCTTCAAATTTTGATAGGTGGTTTGTCTGCTCCATCTCCGAAACCTCACCTGCCTAAAACTCCAAAGTCTTCTGATTATGGGTCTCTCTTCACGAAGGTAAAATCAATTTACATTCTATTACTTGCTGTAGTATCTGAAAATGTAGAGTTTGGCATTGGCAATGTTCCTTATTTTGATTTTCACATTGCCACATAGCATGTGCAGTACAGCTGCTCATCATTACTTAGATTGCGAGGTTTTAAGAAATTTATCCATGTGCTAACATTATTATGGTAGATACTTCGTTTAGTGTTTAGATTTTTGACTGAAGTTTGAGATGGGTTATAACTTATAAGACATTATAATTATCTCATTACTTAGTACAGGTAATTTGAAACATGCTGGATGTAAGATCTGTTCATCAGACTTAATTAGTTAATTAAAGAGGTGACTTTAGAACAATTAAATTTTTCTGTTTAGGGATCAGGGGTTACTTTGACGGTCATATGAATGTTTACACTACTAGTTCTCCAAAAAACGATTTTCTGTTTTTCTAAATAGTTTTCCTTGGGGAGGGTGTTGGTAGGGGATAAGGCACCTGCCAATCCCCACCCCTTGAATCTTAATCATGTTTCCTAATTCTTTTTGGTCAATTTTAGGATGGTGGGTTTTACATGTTCTTATAACTTTACTCCATATGCTCTGAGAAGGTCTGTAAAAAATTTTGCAGGAGAGGTTAAAGTATCTCTTTGATCTTGTGGTTCTTTCTGTAGCTTTTGCTTTTGTCCCTTTCTATTTCGATAGATCCTTTTTTTCTACACAATATGCTGATGGCTCACATGGAAATGATAAAAGCAATCAAGGGCATGATTATTATGATGAATTATTGGTTCCCTAAAAGCTGTATGTTTCCTTCTGTAAGTTGGCCTAGCTTTCTGTGTATGTTGTTATACTTGAGTGCTGTTCTTTTACCTGCTTTACTTTAAGGAAATGAAGAACTTTTGTGTTATGTACGTTATCCCCTCCTCCTCTTCTTGTCTCTGCTCCTTTTCCGTCAGGAATGAACTTTCAATTAAATAAATCCAGTCTTGTTTATTAAAGTTTCTTGGTATCTTTCTGCCATGCCACCTTTCCAATTCACCCGTGAGTTATGGGCCTAATCATTTTATTGTTTTCTATTATCTAATGGTACAGCATTCATGTGATGAACAAATCAGGAGCTCTACATGATTAAATGGCACATAAAAAGTCCTTTTAAAAAAATTACATCTTTATTTTTTTCTTCTTCATGATGCATGATGTAGTTTTTCTTCTGATCTGTGGATTGAAGCCTCCCAAAACGATAGCTGGGCTTGTTTGTAATCTGGCCTGTGCGTTTGGTGGGACTCATGGATCAATGATAAAACTCAATTTTGGATTTGTCCATGGGAATTAGTAGTTACTAAATGTCCATTTGAATCATCTTTATGTAGTTCAAGGCATTTAATACTCTGAAGTATTATGCGGGATCATCTTATGCCAATTGCGGGTTGTGTATTCATCTCGTTTTCCCATAAAATGATGATTTTTCCGTAAGGTCGAGTGTTGTGATTGCCTCTTTGTTGCTTCTATTAAACTTTATCAGCTCGGAATAGACTTTTCTTCTCCAAGTGATGGTCCAATGCAAAGAGTACGAAGCGGTTTAGGGATGGGCCAGAGGCGAAATGTGTTAACCAAGGCACAGGGATCTGAGCGTGAAATGGATCCATTTCCTGTGAGTTCACATAATTTTACCTTTCAGATTGTAACTTAGACCTCTAAAGTTGTCAGGGGTTAATTTTTCACATTCCTGAAACAATATCCTCTGTCTACCGGCAACGCTAAGTTGCAGTTTCTAATGTGTTCGAAAAATCCTGCAGTAAGTACAAAAAAGAAAAGAGAAACATCCTGCAGTTTTGTTCCTCATTGTCTCAAATTAGATTCTTCATTATTTCATCCATTTGAACTGCAGCACTGCATTGTTCTTGACATTGAGGGGACTACTACTCCCATATCGTTTGTTACAGAGGTTCTCTTCCCATATGCACGTGCTAATGTTGGTAGGCATCTATCTGCTACATATGATAACCCTGAGACGCAAGATGATATTAAGCTGCTTCGCTCTCAAGTATGTATTTATAAGAGTTGTCTGATTATTGTTTCTATAGAGCCATTTGATACACTGGCATCTTACATTCTTAGATGTCTTGGTTATCTTGGTATAGGATAACATGACATTTAAGACTTGGGAAGGCATCAAAGACATGATATAAAATGTTGTTTGTAAAAGTTTGTAAAAATTATAGGACTAGGGATCTACATACGTACGTACGTACGTACATACATAGATACATAGATATATATATAGGCATCTAATTCAGATTTATAAGACACTTAAGTGTTAAATATGTTTGAACGAAGATGGCAGTATACTGAACGGCTCTGAAATAAAATTTGAATTGAATACTCTACTAGAATTCTGAAAAAAGAAACCAGCAAAAACCGCACACATACATAAAGTGTAGTCCTGGTAGCAGGGAAGTATCTAGTATGGAAGCCTTGCCCTAATTGGGTTTCTAACAAGCGATTTTCAAACTTTCAACTAATCAAGAACTGAAGATTTTTATTTTGTTCTTGTTCATTAAAATAACTCGAACCATTGACCTCCTTGTGATCCCAGGTTCAAAATGACTTGGAACAAGGGATTGCAGGTGCTGTGCCTGTTCCCCCAGATGATGCTGGGAAAGAGGAAGTCATCGCTTCTTTGGCTGCTAATGTAGAAGCTATGATTAAGGCAGATAGGAAGATCACTGCCTTGAAAGAGTTGCAGGTAAACCTGATTAAAGCAGATGGGAATTTATATATCGTATAATTGAAATCTGGTCATGCAGGGTCATATATGGCGAACGGGTTTTGAGAGTAAGGAATTGGAAGCCATAGTTTTCGATGATGTACCAAAAGCACTTGAGAAGTGGCATGCCTTGGGTAAAAAGGTTTGAATTACGAATTCTTTACCCTGAAACAATTAGTGATGATTTTCTCATTGTATTTGTCTTCTCAAGTGTACTCCCAGTGCTGTCTCTTTTTAGTCCCCCTCCACTGAGAGATGACTTAATTGCACAATGCCCCCATTTTATTAAAAATACACACAACCTTCCCTTAAAACCAAAAACACATTACAACAATCTCAATTTTAGATATAAGATTAAAAGATTCATTTGTTTTTTTGTTTTTAGATCATCAAAAACCTGATGCCACTTTATATTTCCCTTATACTCCTCCTTGACCTCTGTGTGTTGGATTCTGTGGCTAACATGGTGGATTCCTTTTTGTATCCAAGCACATAGAAGATTTGTGGCTAGTGGCAGCATGAAGTCCTTCATCGCGAAGAAAGTTCACTTATTCCCTGTCTATCTTTATGCCTTTATCTCGTGTTGACCGGTAGAGATTTTTCACAGGAGAGAAATACTAAATGGATCCCTTAGCATCAGACCTGAAATTAGGGTTTAGTTTATGGCTTGGTTTTGGGCTTTGAAAGAGGATCCCTCTTTTTCGTAATAGAATTGGGGTTCTTGCTCTCAGAGATGGGTTGAATATTTCACCCCCTGTTTTAATTGCCTCTGGATAATTATGGACCAAATTAAGCAATCAAAACGTGGGCGCGTTTCTCATATGTTGCATGGAAGGCACGAAAGGCATGTTTATTTGCATCGTAATTGCTATTTAAAAACTTTGCTACAGGTGTACATATATTCTAGTGGCAGTAGGTTGGCGCAGAGGCTAATATTTGGAAATACAAACCATGGGGATCTGAGAAAATACTTGTGTGGGTTTTTCGACACCAAAGTGGGGTAATGTTTTTCGTGATATTTCGTTATGGCGGTGCTTGTCTGAATTCCTGAGTCAGCTATTTTCATCATGAAGAACTCTTTCTTTTGCAGTAACAAAAGAGAGACATCCAGTTACGTTGAAATTTTTGAGTCACTTGGCGTTGATAAACCGTCAAATATTTTATTTTTGACTGATGTTTCTCAAGAAGCTACTGCTGCAAAGGCTGCAGGTTTGTGCTTTTGTATTAGTACTTTAATTCATATACCAAATAGATATGATTGATGCTTTTGGAACTATTAGATTTCTTCTCCGAGCTATTGCTCCTATCAATCAAAAGGTGAGGAAGCCAAATCTTACAGTTTCGGCACTGTGTCTTTTTCTTTTTTCTCTATGTTATATAGCATCTGAATGACTGACTTCCGAATGAAGCCCATAGGGGGGGGGGGAACCAAAACCAATTCATATAGAACTAGTGCAAACTAGCTTTTGTCTTTACTTCTGAGTAACTCCTTTCTTCAGTTGGCAAATCAATGTGCAAAGATCCCAAAAAATTAAACGGCAAATGCTTTTGTTTAAATGTGAATAATAACATTACGAAATACTGTAATTTGCATCTCTGATCGAGGAAACATCAGATAAATAAACATCTAAATACGTTGAGAACACTTTTTTACTACTTCTAACCGGTGATGGAGGGAGGCGAGTTAGGTAGGGCCATGACCACCCCAAGATTTTACCTTTTTTTAGTATCATAGATGTTACAAATTTCCACTTCCCTAGAAAATTATACGAACCCTATACCATAAATGCTTTTCATTCTCGGTGCCCTTTACGATAAGATCCTAGCTCCGCTGTTGCTTTTGACATGAATATCTAGAAGGTAGACCCACCCACCCCCACACACACACACAGATCTGAGAAATGCATGCTTTTGTCAGCCGTGCGGTTATATGGCCAAGTAAGAACTGTTCTTTTTTTCTGCAAATGAATTTGTTATGTGCATGTTTCAGGATTGGAGGTGATGATTTCTATTCGACCTGGAAATGGACCTCTTCCGGAAAATCATGGATTCAGGACAGTCAATTCCTTCTTGGAGATATGAGAGTAGTAGTTAAATTGATTGTGTAAATATGTTAAATGTGCCGCAACCACCATAGATGTATACTTCATAACGTTCACTTTCCCAAAACTGAGAGTTTGGTCAATTGAGGTTTACAGTTTATTAGACTGTCTTCCACGGCGGGACATGATCAAGCCCACTGCCCACGCCAATCATAAAAGATTTAAGTTTTCATTACTTTAATTTAGACATATATAAATGACAACAAAACCACATGAAATCAGTACGCGTATAAACCATTAAGAGGCTGCATATGCATGAAATATTAAGCTTATGGCTTTTCAGGCCTGAAATCTCGTCTAAGCTTGGCGGGTGGTGCTGTTTTTGGAGCAACTTGTCGTTGACATATCACAAGTTTACAATTTTCAGTTAACGTTACAAGCTAATCAGATTATACTACTTATTTAGGACGGGCGGCTTTGACTTTTGATCATTGATGAATGATGATAAGGTATTTAAAGTTGGTTTGAAGTTATCTTTGTTCTTCAAGAAACAAAAAAACTGGATTAGGAATTAAACTTGTTGAGGTAGTGGGTCAAGGATTATTGGTCAGACCAACCATATTAAAATAATATAATATAATTCACAAATAATAATCCCTAACAAAATATAAGAAGCTACAAAAGTAGTTTATATGTTTAATTGTACCAAATAAACATTAATAAAATGTATATTTTCATTATAAAAATTAAAATCATCACTAAGATCATTGGCATGGATTGATATATCAACAGCTGGATGAGGAAAAGCAAGAGCAACAACATCATCGTGTGAAGGTGGAGGATCAGTAATGTTCATATCTTCATCATTTATATAAGACAATAATTAATATTAATGATTATGCAAATAATTATATATTTGTATAAGAATAGAGTCTTAATTGTACTCTTTTGCTCCTTAATATAAGATCTATTTAACTAATTTGATTAGATTAAAGAAGTTAGGTAAGTTAGTTAATTATAAATATGACATGTTTTTTCAAAAATAATATAATCATCTTCCTTAATATCCCCCTCCCTCTTCTACTTGGTTATGGTTGAGGGAGTATCTATAGGGGTAATTGAGAAAAAATTGATAAATATGAGAGGTATGTCTTATATTTATGACCAAAATTAACCAATAATTAGATCCTATATCAAGGACTGGAGGAGTATATATAGACCATCATTATCCCTCTCAAGAGTTGAATTTGCAATGCCCTCATTGTTAAGAACACTTTCAATCGTAGCCATATTTCCATCATCAAACTCTGAAATGAGATCTTCTTCAGCCACCTAAAAATCTACCATATCAATGTTTTCATAGTCAATTAGATCATAACTTTTGCTCTTCTTCAATGTACTCCTTTAATGACAAATAAAATTTCAATTAAATAGAAATAAATTAAAATAGAAAAAAAATATTCACTATTTTCAAGATTACTTATGTTTCAATTGCAGATTATAGTTGGTGAAAACTAAATCATTCAGCCTTTTGTGTTCTAATCTTTTTTTTTTTGTATGAATTCTTTCAAATAAGTTCCAATTCCTCTCACAACCAGAAGAAGCAAAAGTTTGACTAGGAATATGCATTGCAACACACTGCAATTCTTGAACTGAACAACCATAATACTGTCCATTATTCATACTACATATGTCCATATTCATCTACATAATAAATATATTTAGTATCCAATATTATATAGAATTAGTGAATAACCATGAATATAATACTTACAAGGGTCTAGTTTTTGTACAGCTTTTTAACATGAGGGTCTACTAAAAGATTTTTTGCCCTCGCGATAAGTAGATGGAGGGGAGTACATTGAAGAAGGTTTTTTAAATTTTTTTTGATTAAAATAAAGGATGTCGTTTTGGGCTTTTTGGGATGCAAAAAAAAAAAAAAAAAAAGAATCAAACTGGGGGTTACCCAGTTTAATAGCGGTTTTCACCAGTTAAAGTGGTTTTCTACTGGTTCAATTAACCACTAGTCCACCAATTAAACCAGAACGGACTGCAGACCAATTCACCAGTTTTCTAGTTAAATTGGCTAGTTCGGTCTAGTTTTTTTCCCTAACTTGTGAAGTGTGTGGTCCTTGCTTCCAACTTGGTGACTTTTCAAACCTTCCCAATTAATTTCTCCGTTTGTCAAGAAGAGGGAGTTAGAAACCCTGTTCTGAAGAAACAGTATATATCACATTAATTATTGGACCGAAAAGTTTATAATTTTTTTAAAAAAACTATATAGAAATTATTTTAACAGAAATCTGGGATTATACTTTCAGTTCAAATTTACAAATTTTTTCTGGCAAAGGACTTTCTTTTGACTGAACTATAGTCCTCCTTCTCTCCTTTGCTAATTTCTACCGTACGTATTTGAACATAATCATATAATCCAAAAGTTACATATTTTAAAATTAGAGATGAAGTATAGTAATCAATATGCATAATATAAAACTATAGGAAGTCAAACTACTTGTGTAGCTCATTTTTTGATTGGGCGCAAAGCACAGGTCTACAATTGTCCGCAATTTAGTTTATACTACATATGTACGTTTTAGGCTAACTTAAGACTGGTTGACCAAAAATGCCCTTCATGAAAATATAGGAGTTTTTTAGTTGATAAAAAAAAATACAAAGTCTTCGGTGGAAACCAAAAACCAAAGTCAAACATACTATCTCCAATACTTAATATAAGACCTAATTGACTAATTTGAAGAGATTAAGGAGATTGATTTAGTTAGTTATTTGTAACAAATATGTGTTGTGTTTTCTAATTATGTGTATTAGTTAAATTACTCCTCCGGTCCTTAATATAAGACCCAATTGTTGAATTAGTTTTAATTCTAAATATAAGATAGTTTTGATTCTAAATATAAGAATCATTTCTTATATTTATCAATTTTCTCTAAATTACCCCTATGGATATTCTCAACTATAATCAAGTAAAAGAGGGAGAGAGGTATTAAGAAAGATGATTATAGTGTTTTAGGAAAAGTGTGTCACATTTCTTATAATTAACTAACTTACTTAACTTTCTTAATCTAATCAAATTAGTTAAATGGGTCTTATATTAAGAACCGAAAGAGTACTATTTAATAAAACTTTTAATATGTGTAACTACTATGAGGACTTTTAAAAAAATAGATAAATATAAAAGATAAAGTGAATTGAAGTATTATATTTAGAATTAAATTAAAAATCAAACTAACTCTTATATTAAAGGCCGAAGGTAGTAGCTTGTTTCAAGAGGGAGGAAAAAAACAAACCGTAGTGCAGAAATCATAAAACGCTTACAACAAATGAAAAAAAGTTCTTATAATTTACTCACATTTTCAATAAAAGGAAATTTATTTATACAATATGCTTATGTTGCCAAAAAAATTTAGCCAAAAAACCAGTTGCAAAGAAAATAAGGGAAAGAAAGGGGCTTAGTGGATTAAGCTTGATATGAATGATTTTTCAAATCTGCACGATGAGATTGCTGCTGATATTATTCATTGGATTAATTTATATAACACTTATGAAAATCAATCAAGATCAGTCTTCATTAAAAATCCAAAATTTCATTCTTGGGATGTTTGCTTCAGATTTGTCCTTAGAGTTCATAATGTTGTTCTCTACTATAAAAGGGATTTTGTTTATATTAGGGCTGCACAACAAAGTCTGAAACCCGGTCAACCCGGTCCGACCCGAGGAAGTCTGGTCCGACCCGGTCCAAAAAAAACAGCCCGATCAAGAGACAGGACCAATCGGGTCAGACCAACAAACCGGGTAAGACCGGGTTGAGGACTCATATTTCAGACCATGTGGTCTAGCCCGGTCCAGGTAACCTCCTTTTTTTTTTTTTTTTAAAACATCTATATGTCATGGACTCATGGGATATATTAAATATGAGCCGAGCCCAACCCAACGAGCATTGACCAGCTGACTTGCGTTGCGATTCTGCTCTGCGTTCTGCTGCCCATGCTTTTCCGGTTTTCCCTTAATCCCTTTCACTTTCAGTTCACGGCTTTCACTCTCACTCTCTCAGTATATGCCCTAAGTCGGCCTAACATTCTCTGCTTTTCCCTTTCACGACCTGAGAAAGCCGCTCTCTTCAACCAGTAGCTATTGGATTGGGGGTCAAGGAGAGGAGCGAACCAAGCTTGAAATGGGAATCGAGAGGCACGAGACGGAGACAGTTAGGTCGCCAAAGCAGTGGCGATGAAGGCTGACAAGCACAATTGACTGAAACTGGAGTCTCACGAGGGATTTGGGAACTTATCCGGCCGGCCCTATCTTCAAGTCAGTCGATTCGAAAGTAGGTTCAGCTTCACTTCGCGATCATCTCCTCATTTCCTCGGTAGTCGTCTGCTTTTCTGTTTTCCCTTTTGAGCGTTCGTGATTATCTCCTCACTTCCTGAGTTCGCTGCGCTCCTGCTTCAACTTCAGCTCCTCGGCTAGCTTCTTCTCCAAAGATTGATTAGCTTGTTGTCCTTGGAAGGCTCATTCAAGACTTTGAGTAGCTTCTTCTTCTTGACTCTTTGCTTTTTATTCTTGCTTTTAATTTCCTACGGTTTATTCTGTGCACAGCAATTGTTTCATTTTGCTTCGTTTTTATCAGAAATTGGTCATTCTTCATTGTTTGATCGCTGATGCTGTTTCGGTGTTTCTGTCTTCATGGGTTTTGATTAGCGTATTAAACTGTTGATCTTTTTATGGCTTGATTTTATTTAGCAATTAACCGTTGGTTTAAACTGTTGATCTTCAACTTCACTCTCAGTATATTAAACTGTTTCTGTCTTCATGAGTTCACTGGTTTAAACTGTTGATTAGCAATTGTCTTTTGTAGTGTCTGCCTGTCTGGTGTTGCTGATTTTATTTAGATTTATATGCAAATATATATGTGTGTGTGTGTGTGTGTGTCATGCATTCGTGATAACGAGAACTTGTGAATGGCTGAATGCTTCGTGAATGGCTGAACTTGTGTGTGTGTGTGTCATGCATTCGGTGTCAATTAGTGAATGGCTGAATGCTTCGTGATAACTTGTGAGGAGGGTCCTTTATTATTCATTATGGCTATGTCAACGAGAACTATAGTATATATTATGATTTGATTAATTAATGTATGATTTTTATTTTCATGTTAGAAATGGTTGATGAAACTTCAGCAGCTACTAGTCAACCCTCATCTGCACAAACACAATTAGTGGGCACTGG